TCATCTTTGCTCAGTCGTTGTATGAGTTCTAAAGGCTGGGACAAAGCAGAGTCATCAAGGTGAATCTGCTTCTTGGGACATAAATCTGAAGTGCTGTAGACATAATTGCAGGTATATTTACCCACTTTCTCCATGACTGCACAAGGGTGAAAGATTTTATGTCTGAATTTTTGTGTCCTGATAGTACGTATATTGGAATGCAAATTTTTAGTAAAAAAAAAAAAAAAGCTAAATTTGATGGAAAAACAATTATTGACTCAGATTCAAAATAATAAAGATTGCAGGAGCATTCTTTAGGTTCAATAATCACAGATTTATTTTCAGTAAAAATGGAACTCATTGTGGTACAAGTAGAGAAATATTATAGAGTCCCCTAGCATTTGCCTAAAAAAAATCAGTATTTTTCCATCCCCAAAAAGTATTTGTTAGATCATCACTTGTAGAACAATAGGAATACCAGATGGAGGGTAGAAAAATCAAGATGACCAGTAGATAGCAGTAGACTATTTTGTATCTCTTTCCCACTGTCCAGTGATTGTCCATATTTATAAAGACTCAAGGTGCCCTAATCTAGAAATTAAAATATATCATGTAAAGTAATATCAACCAAAATGAGATTAATCTGAATTGATCTTCATTCTCAGAAGACACTGAAATGCTATGTTAGTACAACTCACTAATTTCTTGTTTGTAAGCTTGAACTTATGTTACATACCATAATGATGTAAGGATGAACTATAGCTTTTGTTATTGCAGACGCGGCTGTTGCCATAATCACTTATACCCAGCTGTTATACCTCTTGTCTCTCAGTCCATCTTTTATTCATAGGGGAATAAATTATTATGGAATTAGTTAATCAATCTTGACACTTATCTGAAAGAATTAATCAATCAGTTCCAGGTCTGTTTACCAGGATGTTCTCTCCAAGGGACCAATAAATTATACATAAATACCTGACAGCAATTATTGGGAAGAGGTAGAGTTACCAGACTCAACAGAGGACAGACTTCTGTGCCTTTAATTGTCCTGTTCCGTATTGGAGTTGGCAACAAACAATACTCTGCTTGGAATTAAATCTACCTGTCTTATCAAGTCAAGATGCCAGGTTCTCCAAGGAAGTGTATTCTGGGCATGCACACATATGCACAGATTTAAAAAGGACCATAAACCAGATGATCTGTGCCTTCAACTGTCTATACACACACAAAACAAACACACCTGGTCATACCTTATATAACACCTGGTGAGCAGAAGGATCATGTGCACACTGTTTCTGATATAATTAGGGGTTATTAAAACTCAGATATAGAGAATTAAGGTGCCCTGTTCCATTAAACAAGTCCCAGTTTTCCTTCATTTACTTGCAAGTGATATGGAAAATCCTGTTGCAGGCCTGCATCAAGACCATAAAATTATGAATTAAGTTTCATTGTAGGCATTCACAGAAGATGTGTAAGTATTTCACCACCCAAAACATTTAATGAAATAGAGATGTCTTTGAACTTTCTATTAAGCTGTCTTCCAAAATGTATTTCAAATACTGGCTCAATCCTCTAGGACAGTATTTCTCAACCATGGCAATTTAAAGAAGTGTAGACTTCAACTCCCAGAATTCCTCAGCCAGCCATGATTCAAAAGATTTCAGAAGACTCTCACAGAAGCCACACCAAGTTTTTCAACAGCTTTATACCCCAAAGTCAAAAACTCTGTGTGCATTTAATCTTTTCTGATTAGAAATGAGAGATACACCACAATCTTATTTTAAATGTTACATTATTTAATGTAATGTTTAATGTTAGGTATCTACTTTAAACATAAATAAATGGACAATATTTCTATTTCATGAAAATGACACATTTATCAATGTATTGTGACTCTGTGTATTGCAAGTAGGGTTTCCTATCCATTTGATAAAATGCCTGAAATTGATAGAGCCTTATTCACTTCCTTCTATCTCCCAAAAAGGAGACAGAGATTTCTCTCTCTTATACCGAAGGATCTAGAGGGTGCTTGAAAATAAGTGGTGCTACTTTAAAACTTATTTTCCTTTCTCATCCTAAGTTATGATTCTGGGATTTTGTTCAATACTAATATTAATTTCAAGGCAAATATATCTTTCTGGTCTGGTAAGCTATTGTAACAGTACTGCTGTAATAATTTATACCTTGAAATAGTCTTTAAGGTTTTTTGTATTAAGATTGGAAAATCTTAGATGTTTTCAAGCCCAAGGATAATGGAAAACTTCTCATTTGGGAATATTTGTACTCTTATTATAAATTTACCTGAAAGCACAGTCCTTTAAAAACCTCCTGTACCTATATAATCTATGCCTATAAATAAGTAACATGCCAGCTAGCTTGTCATCTGCATCTACATTCTACAAATCACAGATAAGGAAGAGAGAGACTTACCATATAATTTGTTATGATAATGAAGGCAGAGACTAGTCAGTTATTACTGGTAAATAAGTAGTGATCCTTTCATCTGCTGTCAAGCATAGTGGCATGAATTATGGCCCAGAAACCTGCTATCAGCTCAATCATTTCCTGCCTCAGACAATTTTTTTTTAAGTGTGTAGGGTGTGTATGTGGGGAAAAGATGCCTCTGGAACTGATAGGTGTCTGATCAAAGGGCCCAAAGCTGTCAGAAGCCAGCAAGACTTACCAGCCCAGTTGCCTTTGATCTCTGCCTAGTCTAAGCCAAATAGTCTATTTGTCTGAAAGCATGAATGAACTGACGTTGCAATCTGAAAGGGAACAAAATAGCTTTTCAGATGGTCCTGTTTTGGGAGAAGCTTAATTCTTGCTGAGCACAGCAAAAAGAAATTCTGGAAAATGTATTAAAGATTATTTCCATAAATATCTATCCCCAGACTCCACCTGGAAAAGTTTGTTTTTTCCCACCTTAGAGGAAATGAGTAAACAGGAATGAAAAACAAGGTAGGACATGCAACCGTTAAACTAAATATCTGCAGTAGAGTGTTTAAAAAAATAAGGAAAAATGTAATATTTCTAGGGAAAATATATTCACAACATTTGCTATACTCATATGGTTTGATGTTTCTGTGAAAAGGACAATGGAGTTTTATTTTTATTTTATTTTTTTTGGAAATATTAAGTGTTTCAAACTGAATGTTTTTCACAAGACTAATATGGTCTATTTTGTTCCTGATGTTACAGAGACACCAACTTTATTATGTAGTCAAAATGATGAAGAATTGTAGGGTCATATAAATTTTATAGCTAAGAACCAAGAGCCTATTCCAGGAAACTTATTAACACACAACCAAGATTGTTAGGAACATTATAGAGTCTTTGGACTTCAGTATGGTGCTGTAAATGTCTTATCAAAACCTTTCCATCAATGAGTTAATTCTGATAAGTCTTCTCCAGACATAATCAGAGGTACCAGGGTCACATTCTGGGAACTGCATGCAGAATATTCCACCACATTGGAGAGAAAGCAGTTGCCAATTTTCTGTTGACCAAAATGCTACCAAGTGTAGCGTATATTTTTTAAACTTCCTTCCTTCCTTCCTTCCTTCCTCCCTCCCTCCCTCCCTCCCTTCCTTCATATTCTTCATACAATAAATAAATAAATAATCACACTAAAGACAGCAGACTCTTACTTTTGCCCATGAAGACAAAATAATTCAGTTAGACCATTAAATTGGAAGGCAGCTAGTAAATAAGACTCAGCTCAAGATTTCCTTATTCCTAAAGAAAACATTCCAAGGTTGTTGTCTCACATGTAAAAGCCGATCTATCCATAGCATAAAACCAAATTATGGTTATATAGGTTTGGGCTTACTCTTTCATATAAAGCCAGAAAAGCATGGTTTGTGAACCATGGATTATTGTTGAATCCATGAGTGAACCCAGGCATTGTGGCTGATCTGGGATTAAAGCAAATTATTGCTTAGTGTGATTTAATGCACCTAGCCACAGAATCAGGAGTGAAAGAATCCAACAAAAACTGTAACATATGATTCTGCTGAGCATGTATTTCAATCTCCTATTTGTATTTATTAAGGATTTATTCCTTCCGATGCCCAAACCGTCGTGTTCACTTACTATCATGAATATGATATCTATTTTCCTCACAAATAATATTATATACAACTGTACATGTAAGTAGGTGTGATCAGATTATGAATTATTAATATTGTTGTATTTATCAGCTAGTCAGCCCAGGGTACAGAATTTGTAGTTATCACAGTCAACAACAGAAAGATTCACACATTAATCAATATTATTATTGCCTTCCCATATATCATCTTTCCTTGCCAACAGTTGTACAAAGTTTCTTTCAATATTTTGGTTACATTGGGATCCAATTGATAGCTAATACCAATAACTGTATTTTTTTCTTCATGCATCAAATATAAAATGTATGGAAAAATACACAAGAGAAGGAGAAGCAATCATGCTTAGTTATCAACACACATTTTATTTTATTTATATATCAAATTTAGAAACTGCCCATCTCACTCACAAATCAAGTTATTGAGAAAGTGGTTATTACAAGTTTTCATGTAAAGCTTCTTATCTCATCCTGCCACAGAAAAATGTTATTCAATATCTTTAAGAATAAATTATGAGTCATGACAAATTTTAAGAAAATTACTGTCTGTATCTCATATTTGGATTTCCACAGATTTTAATTGAGGCAGAGGGGTTAGTTTAGACCCTTCTTTCTTCCTTGTAAAAGGAACACTATTTTCAGTCATTATATTAGATTATTGTCCACTTGAATTCTAGTCTTAAAAAAGTGATTCAAAGAAAGTTAAGAGATAATTAAGACAGAGGAGAAATTATACTTCAAAATGGAGATAGTAGCTTGCTGTTTTTTTCTTTGAAAAAAATAATGAAACCTCTGGAACCGTTTTAACAACTAAAAAGTGAGATGAATATATACAAATCAATTTCAAAAGCTTTTTTTAAAAAATTGTTGTCAGGTTTTTTTTTTCTTTTGAATAAAAAGATAGATTTCAGCTTACCCATTCTAGGGGTTAGAACTGTATTGGAGATGTGGTGTGGAAGCCAAGCCTCGTTCTATGTTCCAACATGTCCCAAAGCCTCTGAAGTTGAGCAGGATTGTCTGCGGGAATTGTAAACATACATAGCTGAACTCCCTCACAAATACTTGCAAGCTTTTGCAGTGAACATGTGAGATTACAAAGATAAGAAGTATACAAGTGGATACAAATAAATAAATAGCACGCATATGAGGATGTAATATTATAGGAGTGGCCTGTGCATATTAGTCACAATAGATCAAGTGTGCAACTTAATCACTTGCATAAAGCTTTTGTCTCCAGCCAAAACTGAAATTCTATTGATTCTAACAGAAAATAAAAATATATCTTTTTTTACAGTTTGGGACCATAATACATATATCTTACCCTATGTGTTGTGTATTTTCAGATAATGTGAAAGCATTTTTCTATTTTTTTAAACACTATTATTAAAATATGTGAAAAGGGAAAGAAGAGCATCAGACTAACAATATAATCTTACACATGTCTCATCAGAAGTAAGCCTTACTGAGATCAGTGCATCTTGCTCTCAGGAAACTGGGTGTACAATTGCAGTTTAAAAAAAAAAAACTTTTTAAAAAAACCCCAAGCATGGAACAGATGAGGTTGATGTGATTATTCATGGAATAATTGACCTCGAGGTAACTCATTCCAGAGCTGACTCTTAAATTAAAAGATAAAATCAGACTGTACTCAGTAACTAAACTCAACATTCAAGGCCAAATTACTGGATTCTATCCCAGCCAAGAGACATCCATGGTCACCCAGGCAGTGCCAGGACCAGAAATGACTGATGGAGACTTCACATCTGGCCAAAATAGTCAGAGGGGTTGGATCAGCATACTGTATAAGGCCAAATAAAAAGGTTTCTCTGTGTGTGGCAGGACACACAGGCATGAACAGCTGGTTAATGAAGGACTAAAACAGGAAATTACTTGATGGTGCAATGATGGCGCCACCTAGAGGAATGCAGAATTTTTTTTGTCCTCTGTGCCAGGTTCTGTACAAAGATACCTTAAAACATCATACAAAGTTCATGGGGTGAAAAACAAACAACAAACAGCCAATTGAGTTACCCAAACGTATATGAAACTTCCACTACAAACTAAAGAGTTTGTAGCCCCCCCCCCTCTCTCAATTTCCAGTGAGGCAGCATAATTCACAGAACAATATTTTATATTCATAGGATACTGTAGTTTTGCAGCAAAAAACTGTTTTTCAGTTAGATTGCAGAGATCTTATGCAGGAAACATATCAAGGAGAAGGTTCAAAGATACCAGAAGATATTGGGTGCTAAACTACATGGGCTCACCTTTATAATCAGGCCAAGATGTAGCTGCTTCATTCCACTGTTCCTGTTACATTGAACTGATGCTTTTCTAAAATGGTTCACCCTAGGATTCATAAAAATTATCTGCAACTGTTGTTTGCATATATAGGAGCTTTGGAGGCAAGCTCATCTAATATGCATGCTTTGTGCTTTTTACTGCAAATTTTCCTAAGCAATACATATATAAATTTATCCAACATTTTTCAAAAATATATATTTTCTCAACTATGGTACATGCTCTTACAGAACTCTTCCAAATACATATTTTCCTCATTTTTCATAAACAAATACGGACTCTTTGATGCTGATTCTGAGTAGAATAGTTTTTGTTCAGTGCTGTGTTTTCAATTCATTTTAGTAATGCTTACAAAAATTTTTCCCAGAGAGATTTATTTTTATATCTTTAATGTAGATTGTACAGAGGCACAAGCCATGTATATAGAGACCCTTACATGCAATATATATTTTCAGAATGCACAGATAAGGTATGGTATGTGTTTTTTTTCAGTTGCAGTCTGACCAGAAGTGATCACAACAGATCCTTTTGGTTTTCTTTTCTGCCACCACCTCCACCACACCCTTACAGTATTATCATTGTTCTGAGGCTACAGTCATCATTCCTGCATTCAGGATGTAGTGAGTGACCTGTAAAAGTAGCAGCCCAAACAGATCTGTCCTAAGGTAGATCCCAGGTCTGGAAAGATTGAAGGCTATTATCATAATATGCCACTTTACAGAAAGAGCCAAACGTATGCATTTGAGTTTGCTGAAATCATTTCTCACTAAAATTATATAGATGTGATGGTGATAAAGGATCTGCCTTCTTTGAAATACTGTGAATACAATTCTCCAGAAAACTACCACATCAAATTTTAAAAACCATAATTTGGCCTAATAAATACTTAGAAGAATAAGAGCTTCTTGTGTTTGAAGGCAAATGCTAAATTGTAACTAGACCTTTCTGCTGAATTTCTGCGTATATATTACTTTGGGCTATGTTTTCCTTCCTGCTTTGGCACCAAGGGTACTAACTTGAGTCTAACAACTAGAATATGAATATAGATATGTATGTCTCTCTCTCTGTGTGTACGTATATATGTATGTATGTGTATATATGTATGTATGTGTGTGTGTGTGTGTGTGTGTGTGTATCCATAACATGTCTTTAGTTTTCAAAGAAAAACCCAGGAGGGAGAGGGAAACTGTACTGCTGTGTGCACAGGTGTGCTCAGACCAACTAGAAAATTGAAATCCAATTTTAAAAGGCAATATTTGAAACAATTTAAACAGGTTCTGATGCTGCTACGGCTGAAATAGCACAAGAAATGACTTCAAGAGCTATCTGCATTTTCACTTCAATCTGTTCAGCACAAACTATCAATATGGACTGAAGTGGAAAAAAACAAACTCACGGGTTATGTCATTTCAGTCCTAACAAATGCTAAGATTATTTCCAAGTATGCTATTTAAATAAAACATTATTTTCTAAGAGAGAGAGAGAGAGAGAGAGAGAGAGAGAGAGAGAGAGAGAGAGAGAGAGAGAGAGAATCAGAAGTAGAAGCAGAAGCAGAAGCAGAAGCAGAAGCAAACTTACTATATTCATTTACGCCATGTCTCAGCTGTGGCTCTCCATGTGATGGCAAATACTGCTTAGCCATATCAGGTTTGCAAAGCGCCAGAGTCTAAAAATCAGTCTGGGATTTATCAAATATTCAGAAGAAGATAAAGGCATCAGATTTAGTCAGTAAACCAGAATTGGTTTCCAAAATCTGTCTGGAGGTTTATGAAACAATGTTTCAGCAGGTCAGTTGAAAGGCACAAGCAAGCCCAGATATTCTACATAATATAGAGGCATGTTTCCAGCATAAACACTTCTGAAATGAGGTTTTACAAAGCCGGAGCTCCTAAAAGCATACCAAACTGAGGACCAGCATGAAAAGATTGCTATTTTATCTCAGGCCTTAAAAAAAAAATCCAATGAAATATTTTCTTGTGGAATAAGAATGTGGGAAGATAAGGTATTTAATTATTGTTATTTACTCCCCTATTTTTTTCCTATTAATTTGTCAGAGGAAGAGCGTTAACTGTACAAGTAGTCCTTGGTTAACGACAGTAATTGAGACTAGGAACTCTGTTGCTAAGCAATGCCATCTTGAAGCTCATTGTTACATGATTTCTCCAACTTACAACTGCAGTGCCGGCAGTTCCAGTTGTGGTTGTTAGGCTAATCTCTCATGGGTTGTTAGGTGGCTATATCACATGATCACCCTTTGCAACCTTAACTTTTTGCTTGTCAGAAGTTGGCAGCGAAGGCACAAATGACAATCACATGACTGCAGGATGCTGCAACAGCTGCAACTTCAAGGACCAGCTATAAGAATCCTCATTGAGCACTGTTGTAACTTGGAACAGTTGCTGAATGAATAGTTCTTAATTGAGGACTACCCGTGGTGTCAAAGGAATAGCCCTTCTGTACACTGAGAAGTAAGAGACCTGGCCCCTTCAATTTCCATTTCTAAGATAAATTAAAACATGAAATTTTCACGGCTGAAAAAAGTAAGAGTCTACATTTAGGCACAGGTACAGTATAAATGGTACCTTGCTCAATAGTAGCAATTGTGAGAGGGATCTCGGAGTCCTAGTGGACAATCACTTATATATGAGCCAGCAGTGTGCTGCAGCTGCCAAAAAAGCCAACACAGTGCTAGGCTGCATTAACAGAGAGATAGAATCAAGATCACGTGAAGTGTTAATACCACTTTATAATCCTTGCTAAGAACACTCTTGAAATACTGCGTCCAGTTTTGGTCACCACAATGTAAAAAAGATGTTGAGCCTCTAGTCTAGAAAGAGTACAGAGAAGAGCAACAAAAATGATCAGGGGATTGGAGGCTAAAACATATAAAGAATGGTTTCTGGAATTGGGTATGTCTAGTTTAATGAAGAGAAGGATGAGGGGGGACATGATAGCAGTGTTCCAATATCTCAGGGGTTGCCACAAAGAAGAGGGAGTCAAGCTATTCTCCAAAGTACCTGAGGGCAGGACAAGACGCAATGGATGGAAACTAATCAAGGAGAAAAACAACCTAGAACTAAGAAGAAATTTCCTGTTAGAATAATTAATCAGTAGAACAACTTGCCTCCAGACATTGTGAATGCTCCAACACTGGAAATTATTAAGAAGAGACTGGACAGCCATTTGTCCGAAATGGTATAGGGTTTCCTGCCTGAGTGGGGGGTTGGACTAGAAGACCTCCAAGGTCTCTTCCAACTATATTATTCTATTCCATTCTATTCTATTCTATTCTATTCTATTCTATTCTATTCTGTTCTGTTCTGTTCTGTTCTGTTCTACTCTACTGTACTCTACTCTACTTCAAAGTAGATTCAATTAGTATCAATTACTTTTCCTTTCACACATTACCTCTATGAGTCAGAGGTACCACAATATGAATATCAAAATCAGTAAAAAAAAATCTGGCATGTTTTAAACCCTGCCCTGTTTTTCAGGCAATATTCAGATCACTACATTATTTTTTAAAATGTAGCAAATTTTGTAATTGTTAATATTTGTAATAGTTCCTAATATATGGCACCTACTATTTAACTTCATCAAATGCATAGAACTGTTAGTGTAAAATTTTAAAAAAAACATTAACCTATACCAGATAAATGTCCTGGTATAGAGTTCTTTAATATAAATCTTCCCAAATAAGCTTGTATATGCATATG